CAGCCAGGATGGGCACCCGGGTCTGTTCCAGCGCCCGGGCCGGTGCTGCCTGCACTGGTGCCCAGCTCGGACCGGCCTTTCCAAGATGGCCCATTAACATTCCTCTCTCTCGTGGGAGGCCCTTCCTCAGGTCGCCTGGTGGAAACTCCCTCACCCTCGGGGACCCCCAACCGCCACACTGCCCTGCGCTTCAGAACCTAACAAGAGCCGAGAGTCCTGTCGGTGTTTGCGTCTGAAGACATTGTGGAGACGGACACAGTCCCTCTCTCTGAGTCTGCAGCATTGTCAGGGCACAAAATCATGGTGAAAACACTGTGGGAACCCAGAATGGGCAAATGCATCCAGCCAGAAAGCAGATTTATGGTGCCAGGGCTGGAGGAGGGGGATGGGGCATGCCTGCTCGCGGGTTTAAGGCTTCCATAGGGGACGATGAGAATGTTCTGGAACTAGAGAGAGGTGCTGGTTGCACAGCGTTGTGAATGTGCAAAATGCACACTGTACACTTTAAAATGGTGAATTCTATGGTGTGTAAATTTCCCATCAATTAAAAAAAATACAGGATTCTCAAAAAATCAAAATAAAAAACTTCGGGAGACAGTAGAAAGATCCATGGTGGCCAGAGGTTAGGGGAGAAGGAGGGATACATAGGTGGAGGACACAGGATTTTTAGGACAGTCGAACTACTCCGCATGGCACCAAAATGGTGGATATGTGACATTATACATTTGTCTAAACCCATAAAACGTACAACACCAAGATGAACCCTCATGCAAACTGTGGATTTTACTTAACAACAATGTATCTATATCAGCTCATCATTGCAACAATGTATCACATCCACCCATGATGTTAATACCAGGGGACAATTTCTGCAGGGGGGCGGTTGAGAGGGTGCGTGGGAACTTCCTATACTTTTCCCTCAGTGTTTTCATAAACCTCAAACAGCTCAAAAAAAAGAGTCTATTTTAAAAAACACAAAAACCAAAGAAAGAAAACAAAGCTGTTTGAGAAATGCAGATGTGGCCAGGGTTTCACACGACACATGCCCCCGGGATCGGCCATCCTCTGACGCTTAGGGTGACCTGGGACTCCCCACTTTGGGGTCTGGAAGTTCTGCCCCCCAGGAGACCCCTCAGACCCGGGAAGACGGGGACGTCGGTCTCCCTCCGGGTAGCGTCCTTCTTAAATATCTTGCCCACCAAGGGCAAAAAATAACAACACGCGTGAGGTAGAAAAAGTGCCAGCTAAATGCCACATAATTTTTGGCAATTTGACTGCAAACTGCAAAGGTATTTGCCACATTCTGCCCCACTTTTGGCCTGTTCCAAAATAGGTGTTCATTCCTCTTAAAGGTATGGATTTTATTAAGCACGCTTAAAAAAAAAAAAGTATTTGGTTCTCAATGTATTCTTAATGTCAGAGAAAATTGTATCTGGGGCAGACTCGCCTGCAAAAATCCAAAAATCAGCATTCCCAAAGAGGGTCATGTCCTGCGTTGGAGGAGGAAGAGAAATCAGACCCGACAGTGTCCACCTCTGCAGCGCGGCCGCCCTCCCCAATTAGAGGCCCCGGAGAGCCGGTCCCTCGGCACGGGAAGCAGTAATAACAGGAGACAGGGGTCCCGGGGACGAAGCCAGGTGTCTGCTCTGCAGTTAGGGGGGCCCAGTTGGATTGGAGGCAACCCTACGGACAGAGGGTTCCGCCTCCACGGAATGCACGGCCCCCCTGTTATCACAGAGACACGACCCCGAATGAGGACGCAGAGGTGACCCCGTGCCGGGACTCTGCATCCGACTCCAATTCCATCCCACTGGGCAGGGGTGGGGGTAGAGGGAGCAGGCTGGGCCCCCCGGGAGGACGGATGGAGACGTGGGAAGGTCTCGGGGTGTGACTGCAGCTCATTAGGGCCGAGCATCCCCGAGGGGGGCCAGGGATCGCCCGGGTGGGACGAGAGATGCACCGGACACATCTGGCTGGCCGTGGGCTGTGGTCGCTCACAGATGCTCCTGGAGAGCGTCTTTGGGGAAGGAGAAACGTATTTTCCTCTTTTCTCGGCGGAGAAAGCCATGATGTCCTAATTACCATGAATCGGGGGAACAAGACCTGGTTTCCATCCTCCTCCCTCCTCCCCCCACTTCCTCCTGCTCCTTTAAAATTGTGACTCGGACACGGAAACAACGTGTTTCTCCTTTTTCTCTGTCTTTTTCTCCTTCTCCTTTGTGCACACTTGGACACAGAAGCCACGTCTGTACGACATCCACGCACACGCATTTCACACGACACCCAGATCTCACCGATAAATAGGACACAAGACACCACACAAGTGCAGACGAGAAGCCTCGCCCCACACAACACCACAATTTCTGTGCACGCACCACACAACAGCGAGTTCTTCAAGGCAACATCGTTGAGTGGAAAAAGCCCGAGCACCGCGAGAACGTCTGTAGAAATAATGTCCTGGAGGATTAAAAGTATTTTCTCCATAAAAGACATGAAAACATCATTTTTCTTTCCATCATTAGTTTCTGCTCAGAAAATAAAAAAATAGCAAAAAGAAAGAAAACCCACTTGCACGTCTTCCCGGGGACTGTGTCTGTTTCATACTCAAAGTTGGTTGAATTTCGGCAGTTTCCAGTGTGAACGTCAGTCACGTGGATCTTTCCCTCATTAGTGGTCATCTCGATGGTATTTATTTTGGATCCAATTCAGGCAGAGCGTGGGGTTTTTCTGGATTCCAAAGGCCTGAAAAGAAAAAGCGGTCGCCCCTATAGAACACAAATTGCATTTAAAATGACATGCACGATTCTTTATATCCATCATCGGAGATACTCAACACGACATCCGGCAGACAATACAACGAATTTCCAATCATTTGCTGAGAATTTGCACCATCTTCCTTCTAACCCTCTCTCCCTCCCTGTCGTCCAAACTAACTTTAAATGCTCAAAGTAACCTATGGGTCGGGACCAATTCCTGTTAGAACGGATGACCCCCCAATTTCCTGTTGGACCAATTTAGGTCACCGTGTGGCTTAAACCACAGACATTGATGGTCTCCCCGTCCTGGAGGTGGGAATCTGAGATCCAGGTGTCACAGGGCTGGTTCCTCCTGAGGCCTCTCTCCTTGGCGTGTAGACGCCGTCTTCTCCCCGTGTCCTCACGTGGTCGTCCCTCTGTGTGTCTGTGTGCTCATCTCCTCTTCTCATAAGGATGCCAGTCCTATTGGATCAGGACCCACTCTAATGACCTCAACTAACCCCAATCACCCCCAAAGGCCCACCTCCTAACACCACCGCACCCCTTGAGGGTCATAGCATCAACATAAGAATTTGGGGTGAACACCATTCAGTCCATACCAGTGGGTCACGATTCATTGAAATCCACATTTTGCTTTCCTTGAACCATTGTAATGACATTAAGCAAGGTGCCTTTGAGGAAAAGACAGACAGGTGAAAGTTCAAGGATTTGCTAAGTCCTTGTGGACTAAGTCCCCCGACACCGAGGAAGGGAACCAGCCCGTGACAAGGGGACGGATCATTTTGCAGGCCAGCTCACTGTCAATTCTTGGCTTCTCATTGAATGGGAGGAGGGGCTGACTGCACCATCATCGGACAGACCGTGCAGACGGTTAATGACAATAGTCCGCTGCCGGACTTTTAAAAGAAAACTTTTTGTCATAAAATGGTTTCCGATCTACAGAGAAATTGAAGAGATGGTGCAGAGTCCCTGTATGCCCCACCCCATTTACATGATGGACAACCTCGTTCGTGAGTGTGGGGCGTTTGTCACAATTGATAAACCAAGACGGACACATTATCACGCACTCAAGTCCCTGTTTTACTTAGGTGTCCACATTTGTTCCCAAATGTGCCTTTTCTGTCCCACTCAAGATATCATCACTTCTCTGTAGGATCAGCTTGGCTGTGACAGTTTCTCAGACTTTCCTCATCTTTGGTGACTTTGAGAGTTTTAAAGAAATTTTGTAGGACACGCCTCTATTGGCCTGATGCTTTTCTCCTGGTTACACTGGGGTGATGGGTTTTGGGGAAAACCACAGAGGTAAATGCGGGGAGGTCTTTTAAACGTGGAGTCTGACCTTGTCATCCCTCCCTGGTGACACCCCCCCCCCAACAGCTGTGCACAGACAGACTCCCGGGCTCTGCCTGCTCCGGCGGCTGCCGACCGCCGTGGCCTCGTCTGGCACGTGGACCCCCTGCTCCGGGCACACCTGCCAAGCTGTCCCCCGAATCTGCCTCCGGTCTTGGGACACACCCATCTGGAAGGCTGCCCTCCATTCAGGTCACAGTTTGTCATCCACACGTGACTCCAGGTACCCAGGCCAACGATGCTCCTAATTCCCTGACTCATCCTGCAGTGTGTCCACCACGGCCGAGCGAACCATCACCAGAGCAATCAAGATTCAGAACATCTCTCAGCCTCGGCGCCGTGGACGTTCGGGGCTGGACCACTCTCTGATGTGGGGCATTCTGAGCATTGTACAGTGTTGAGCTGCATCCCTGGTCTCCACCTACCAGAGGCTAGTAGCATCCTGTGCCCACCGTGACAACCAAAAGTGACTCCAGACCTTGCTGGGTGTCTCCTGGGGGCCGAGTCGCCCATTCGAGACCCCCGGCGTATGGATTCATGGCAGGAACCCCACCGTGTTGTCCACAGCTGCACCCCGATGGCATCGATGGTGCCTGGACGAACGTTGTCACACCCTCTCTCCCCAGGATGTGGCCAGAAGCTCCCGTGAGTCTCTGAGTCCTCATCTCTTTCTCCTCCTTCAGTCGACCTTCCCAATCATAGTCCTGTTGACCCAAAATTCCATGCACACTCAGAGCCCCTCGTCTTTCCCTGAAACGCCCCCCTGGTGCGCCCACCTGCTCTCCTTCCTCGAGGCTCGGCCACCTCCATCCTCTTGGGGACATCCTCCCTGACTCCTGGGGCTCCGCTGGCCACATCGGCACTTGTGGTACCCGAAGGAGCCTTGAACAAGGGATGACGTGGGGGGCTCCATTCAGGACGCCCCAAAGGCTGCGTCCTCAGATTTCTCTCTGGGGGCAGAATCAGGAATTCCTCTGCATCCCCAGAGCCTCAGGTCCGTTTGCTTTATGAGCACGGAGAAGCCATCAGCTCAATGGTCCCTGCATTTTGTGATGTCCCTGGAGGAGCTCTCAACACCTTGTAGGGACAGCAGCCCCCCGAGGGGCAGAACAAGGTTCCCTCAACCCTCTGTTTTCCGGTCGTCTGACCAATTCGCAAACAGGCAGAGGATGTTAAACGGCTGAAGCCGAGTCTGCTCAATGCTGTGTTTCAGAGCTTCCCCAGCACCTGCTCAGAATAGAAGATTTCCAAAGATGTGCAAGTGAATAAGTGAATGAATGAATGAATGAGTCCTTTGTCTGATCAAATCTTCATAGATGCCCAGAATGTAAAACTATTCCAGGGGGGCCATCTGGGGACCCCTTTCCTCTGCACCCGCCCCTGACCTCTTGTCTCTGAGGATGACCCTGGACACTCCCAGGACGCCAGGTCTCCCCACTGACTGGGAAAACGGATGGACGTGCTCTGCTCCAGCTGGTCACCTGGGCGATGAGGCCTCCAGAGAGGTGTTTGCTGAGAACTGGACAGAACAGGGCAGCGAGGATCTCGGATGCAAGTATTTGCTGTTTTGGGGTGTGACGGTTGAAGAGTGTCCCCCCAAAAGACACATCCACATTGTAACCCCCAGGACCTCAGAATGGGACCATATTTGGAAATAGGGTATTTGCAGATGTGATTAAGTGAAGGATGGAAAGGAGATCATCTGGGGTGAGGGTGGCCCTAAATCCACTGACAGTGTCCTCATCAGAGACAGAAGAGGAGACACAGACACAGAGGAGAAGCCACGTGGAGACGGAGGCAGAGATGGAGGGAGGCGGCCACCAGTCCGGGGACACCTGGAGCCCCAGAAGCTGGAAGAGGCAGGAAGGACCCTCCCCTGGAGCCTCCAGAGGGAGCGCGGCCCTGCGACCCCTTCATCTCAGACGTCTGGTCTCCAGGACTAGGGAGGGTGAATTCCTGGGGTTTAAACCCCCGGTTTGTGATCATCTGTGTGGTGGCCCCAGGACGCTCACACAGCAGGTAAGAAGGCTCTGCCAATGTACTGAGCCAATAGCTGGGTCAATTGTCTCCTCTGAAATGGCCAAAGACAGACCACTGTCCTCTCCCAACAGGGAGAGTTGGGTCCCACAGAGCACAGTCTCGAGTTATCCTAGGACGAGAGGAAGACACTTGGGTTCCAGATGCACACGGGCAAGGCGGCCGTCTCCACGAGGGAAAAATGCAGAAAAGCTGATGTCGGCCATACTTGTGAATGAGGTTGAAGCTCCTCTTATAAGAGAGCAGCCGTGTCGTCCTGAATGCCGTCCTCCACTGTCCACGTCTGCCCTCGTGCAGCTTCAGGAAATGACTCACCCCAGGGATGTGACCTGGAGCCATTCCCGGGGACGTGCGGTCAGCTCTCCCGCCCCCTTCCCCCCAGGAGGCTCATCCTCAGGGTGAGTCATTCCGGGATGGCTCAGCCCCTCATACCCCCTCTGAGATGGGGACATCCAGGCTCGAATATTCAACCAACATTTGTCCAGCACCTACGATGACCCAGCGACTGGTCAGGCATTTAGACACGTCTGAGCAAAATGACCCAGGTCTCTGCCCATGAAGAGCTCGCTTTCTGGGGAGGGAGTGGAGATGGAGCGTGAGCAACAAATGCCCCAACCATGGAGAACATCAGGGAGAAAAGAAGTAAGTGGCTCAGCTGCGGAAAACAGTATGGAGATTTCTCAAAAAATTAAAAATACAAATGCCATATGATCCAGCTGTCCCACTACTGGGTATTTATCCAAAGACCTTGAAATCAACAATTCAAAGAGACTTATGCACCCCTGTGTTCACTGCAGCATTATTCACAATAGCCAAGACGTGGAAGCAACCCAAGTGTCCATCCACTGATGAATGGATAAAGAAGATGTGGGATATGTATAGAGTGGAATACTACTCAGCCATAAAAATGACAAAATCTTCCCATTTGCAACAAAATGGATGGACCCTGAGGGTATGATGTTAAGTGAAATAAGCCAGGCAGAGACAGACAAACACGGTATGATTTCACTCATCTGTGGAAGATAAACTAACACATGGACAGAGAGAACAGATTAGTGGTTACCAGGGGGAAGGGGTTGGGGGGAAGATGACAGGGGTAAGGGGCACATGTGTATGGTGAGGGATAAAAACTAGACTATTGGTGGTGAACACAATGCAATCTGTATAGAAGCTTAAATATAATAATGTACACCTGAAATTACACAATGTTATAAACCAGTATGACCTCAATAAAATAATAATTAAAAAAAAAAAAGTGGTGTAGAGTCAGCAGGACCAGGCGTGATTGCTGGTGGGTGGGAGAAGTCCTGATCAAATGTGGCAGTCAAGAGGAGAGAGCTTAACCAGCCATATAACCAGGCAAAGTGCTCTCCAGGTAGGACCACAGCCAGTGCAAAGGTCCTGAGGCATGAAGGGGCATGGCTTGTGCAACGATGAGCAGAGAGGCTGCCAAGGCTGGGATTGGATGGGCGAGTGGGAGGATGAGAGGAGTTGAGGGAAGGAGGTGATGGGGCGGCCGGGTCACCCAGGGTTGTGGACACCGAGACCCAACTTAGGTGTCAGTTCTATTAGTCCAATACTTAGGACTTAGGCAATGAGTTGCCAAAAGGATTCATTTACTCTTGTCTCTTCTGGGGGGTTCACTCTCCAATGCCAAAGCCCATTGGGGTCCCTCCCTGTCTCGTATCTCTGTGGTCGCTGGGGCAGAGCCTGCAAATCCCTGGAGGCTGAACGCCAAGCCTCCATCCCTCTCCTCCTCATCCATACTCCTCTCACCTGTAAGGGGTATTGATGTTCACGTAGGAGTCCGCACACTCTCTCTGCTGTTTCAGAGATGCAGAGTCTCTGAGAGGTGAAAAATCCCGTAATTGACCCACATCGAGCCCAGGGTCCCTTTCCACTGGGGCTTCTCCCACCCACCACCTCATCCAATGCCCCCCAACCTGGTACCCGGAGCCTCACTCCTACAGCCAGGTGGGTTCCATCTCAAGGCGTCTTCAGGAGATGCCCCGTCCTTTTCTCCAGGGAGGTGGGGGAAACAGAGTCACAGAGATGGAGGGTCTTGGAGCAAGAAGCAGCTCCCTGTTCCAGAAAGGACCCCGAATGGTTTAGGGGATATTGGGAAAGTCGGTTCTGAGAGTCGGCTTCCTCGTATGCAGACGGGACAACCACTGTCAGGTCCACGGGGCCCCGGTTGTGCAAAAAGAAGGAGCTTCGCAAACCAGAGGAAAGTCTTGTTCCAGTGGACGCTGTCGATGCCTCCAGCTTCCTTGCAAATCGCCAGATGATGCACTTCGTCAGAAAGCCTCCCTCCCTCGGCGTGGTCCAAAATACCGTCTCCTGGAAAACGGGGTTGACGTTAAAATTAAATGATCGTGTTCAAACGTAATGTGCGTGAAATTCGATGCCTGAATTCCAAACATGCAGAAGACCTCTCAGGTCGAGCATCAGTCACCAGTTTTCAAGCTTGTGGCGTGACCTCATCCGCTGGGCGAGGCTTTCCCTCCGCTGTTTAATGAATCAACATCTATTTCCCTCCTCCCTCCCTCCCTCTCTTACGTACACACACACACACACACACACACACACACACACACGGGGTATGTTTTCTATTCTTGATCCTGCAAAAATGTTTTACACGTGTTTTTTTCTTCTGCTATTTAATGGATCAAAATATTTCTCCTTCCCTTTCTTCCTTCATCCATCCATATCCATCTATCTATCTGTCATATCTATCTAATCTTTCATCTGTCATTTATCTCTCTATCTACCTATCTATCATCTGTCTATCCATCCTGTGTATCTATTTATCTACCTATATTTTGTCATCTGTCTTTCATCCATGTACATTTAATCCACACATTTATCCATCTTTCCATCCATATCTATCTATCATTTACAGGTCTATTTACCTATATATCTATCATCTATCTATCTACCCCACTACCTATCTCTCTCTGTCCACTATCTATCTATCTGTTATCTGTCTATCATCTGTCATCTATCTGTCTATCTATCTCTATCTGTTATCTAGCTACCTATCTATTATCCATCTATTATGTATCTATCTATCTATTATCTGTCTATCCATCTGTCATCTACCTACCTACCTCTCTATCTCTATTGTCTGTCTACCTATGTATCTATCATCTATGTACCACCTATAACTATCTATCTATCATCTATCTATCTATCCATCCATCTATCATCTATCTATCTATCTACCTACCTATCATCTATCTATCCATAATTTATATCTACCACTTATATCTATCTATCTATCTATCTATCTATCTATCTACCTATCTATCCATCTATCATCTATCTAGCTATCTATGATCTATCCATCTCTCATCTATCTGTGTGTCTATCTATGTGTACATCTATCGATCTATTAACCTACCCACCTATCTCTCTCTCTCTCCATCCCCGACACTGTAAAACTTAACCATTTGGTCACACAAGTGCAACCTAAATTCACAAAAGCTGCTGGAAATGTTCGCCTCACTCACAAAGGAAGCACGAGGGAGACTCTCCCATCTGACTTTCGGGACCAGACGCTCACCATTGACACCACACTCAACCCCAGGACATCTTTGGGTGGAGAGGGCCTCCCGTTCACACACTTCTCCACATGCTTGTCCTGCAGATCCAATACGAGCCCTCCGCTCCCCCCTGTGCCCCCACCCCGCGTCCCTCCCCAGGAGCACCTGTTCAGTGTCGAGCCGATGCCCGGCCCCTCCGCTAATGATCGGTGAGTCATCTCGGCCCGTCTAGCCAGCTCCAAACACTGAACAGGTGCCCTGATGAGTTCCATCGACAGGACCCTCCTAACCTTCTTCTGGGAGGAGAAGAGGGTGATTCAAACCACATTTACCTCCAAACACATGTTTTATGTCAGGACCTATGAAACCGAGGTGAAAACTTGACAATACCCTTGGAAACTCAGCATCACCGGCACTAGCACCAAGCACCAGAGAAGACAAGGATCTCAGACACGGCCCACAGTGAGTCTGAGGGGAGACTGAGGTCACGAGGAGGAGGAGCCTGCCCCCCCACCTCCCCCATCCTGGGACATCAACTCAACCTCAGAGCCCTTCCTCAGCACCTATTTATATTTTGTGAGGAGACCCAGTTGTCATCTCCCAGTTGGCGTGGCCGCCATCTTGCCAGCACTCCTTGACGCTGCTGTTGGGGGGATGGGTTTGGAGCCAGCCCATCTCCACCCATCACTGGTGGCCCGGCTTTGGCAACATCACTGGCCACTCCTCAGCCTCAGTGAATTCAGCTGTGACGTGGAAAGAAGACTTATCTTGGAGAGCCATTAGGTGGCTGGCTGCTCACGGGTCATCAGCGAAGGATCTCCCCCTTCTGGACCATTCTCGTCCCCTCCACACAGGGAAGAGAAGGCACGTTGGACACATTCCATCAAGGATTATCACCGAGGCTCCATTGCTCACACCTTGATCTCAGACTTCCAGCCCACAGGACTGTGAGAAACCAATTTATGTTGGCTATTTAGGTCACCCAGGCTACGGCCCTTTGTAATGGCGGCCCTCCAAGTTAATACAATGCCCAAAGTCACAGGGCTGACATGGAGACAGATGCAAACCCGGGAGGGCTCTGAAGATGCAGGTGTGAGCCAGGAATCTTCTGCAGACCCAGGAGGAGAGGGCTGGGGATTAATGGTCTGGGGCATCTCTTTGCATGTAATCATGTGGGACTGGGGTGGCCAGGCTGTGGGGATCTCACCGGAGAAGTGGTCCATGCTTTGTACACCTGGTGTCAAAGGCAACCAGCCCCAGTCGCCCCACTGACTCACTGCCTCTCGGATCCGGCTGGATCCTCTCACATCCTTCCGGACCACCCACCCGTCTGCCTCCGGGAGGTTCCCCAAGGCCACCTTTGGTTTCCAAGCCGGGCCATTGGGGATTCCGGAGAATTCCAACGGGGGTGTTCCCCGAAGACAGGCACCCATCCTCGTTCCGATTCTGCAGCAGTTCTCTGCCGACATGGCAAGACCCAACACATCAAGTCTTCCTTTTGGGAAAGGATTTCCCAGACATTTTGTTTCCCCTTTAGACCAAAGGGAAGCCACCTGGCTCTCGCAGAGCCCCATTATGCAGCAGGAGCTGTGGCATTTGGCGGAATCTTCCAGAGCTGTCAGGGAAGTGACAGACACATCTCGATCCCTTTGGCACCTGTGTGTCACTCATCCGGGCTGTGACATGACATGGTGGATCATCAATTAAGTGCGTGTGTTGCTAGCAGACTCTTAAAGACACCGGGATTTATCCTCCCACTGGTGAGCATGCATAATTCCCATTCATGTCAGTGGGACCCACAGGTGCACTCCGCTCCGCTCAGGTGAACCTCACACATCCCATTCCAAAGATCCCCGGCAAACCAGCACATCCCTGACAGCCCCAAATTGGTCCTCATCTTGCTCAAAACGCCAACGAGAAAGTCAAGGGAATGCCCCAAGCAGGAAGACTCACAACGAGACCTAGAAATCGTTTTGAGGCGAAAAAAAAAATCTATTAATAAAAATCCCACTCACTAAAAAAAAAAAAAAGAGCTCACTCCGACTCGTAAAGTATTCACTCTCTGACATGCGTTTTCTTGTCATGTTAAAAATGTTTCACGCTAACTTTCAGCACTTGTGGGGAAAAAAAAAAACACAAGTCAAATATGAGCTTTGAAATTCTGAGAGCTGTCAGATCTTTCCACCTTAATAAATTATTTTTTCCCCTTGGCTCAACCAAACAGCACGAGTCGTCCATCCTCTGCAGAACATGTGGGGAATATGGGATGATGGCGGGAAAGTGGAAGGGAGGGATGGGGGCGTTTTCTGACAAGTAGAGCCTCCGCTAATGGAACTGTCTGCCCCCAGAGGAGCATAGGGCCTCACTGACATGTCTTGAGATGCCAGTGGACAAGGGTCCCAAGAAGACGAGGCTCAAGTCAAGCCTGAGTTGCCAGATTCTGTCCGCTTGGACATCTGCACATGCGCTGCCCTGCGACTCACCATCTAAAGTTTGGCATTTCTGCTCAAATTCAAATACTTTTCCTTCCATCGTTTTACTGCACGTGTTTCTGGCGCCAAACTTTTTTTTTAGCATCGTTTTCATCCTTTTCCTCCTCCTCGATTGTGGCCTGGCAGTTTCGCAGCGAAAGTTCTGGTAGGATGTGCTCCTTGGTTTGGAGGGGGCACCCAAAGAAAGGAGCAGAATGGGTATTTCTGCAGTTTCTTAGGAGAACTCAAGGATTGATTTAATTTTCTCCCTACTTTTCATCCTCATGTCTCTCCCTGTCCGTGTTGGACATTGACCATTTTGCAATGTCTCCTTCTGGAGGAGTTTGCTCCTGAGCACGTCCAGAGGGGCTGGAGAGCCGTCCCCCACCCTCCCTGAGCATCACTATGTCAGGAGGCTTGTGGACAGGGTCCAGCTCAGACACGCATTTCCTGATGGACACGGGGCTCCAACAGGATGTAGGATAAACCTCCGAATTTATACTTTGACTTTTTGATTCCTCCAGATGCCAGATGTCATGCATGAGGCCAAGAGATTGCCCACTGTCACCAAAATGTCTCGACGGGGTAGGATGGGTTGCAATTGCGTCAACTTTACTGAAATGAAACAAAAGATCACTGTAGCCCAGGTACTCATGTCATCCAGCCAAATGTCTATCAATCACCCATGGAAGCCCAATTCGATTCCTGCTGGTAGACTTAAAGACACCCAGAACTGGATGTTCTAACAGTTGCCTCTATGTGTTCCCAAACACCACCAAACACACTCATGACAGAAGACGAACAATCCTAGTGTGAACCATTCTTCTCTATGTTCTGTCATCCTGTAATCAGGTTTTCTTAGTTCTAGGAAAGCTAGCAATGGGCATGACTACTAACTGCAAAACAAGAAATGGCAGAGAATGCCTTTCGTTAACCACCAGATGGGTGTTATCGCTATTTTTAGCTCTGCATGGAGTTTCCATCTGTGAACACCCGCTCTTGGGCAAACACAAAAGAACAAGGCAGAGAAAGATGCTCGTGGATGTCAATGTGGCTCCATGAAGACAGAGTCTTTGCAACACTATAGCTGGGGAGTCTTGTAGGCAGTAGAGACATGATTATTATGGCTGGTGGTGCTCCCGGAACTCTGTAAGTTCCCTGTAAGTTTTTTCGTAAGGATTACAGTAACAAATTCCACTATTTGGAACCATGCCTTAGAGGGCACGTTAGCTGTGTCGATGACAGATAAATGCACATTTCCCCGTGACCAGGCAGTTCCACATCTATGTGTCTCTGCTGGAGAAACTATCGCAGCTGGGCACCAGGAGGCATGACTAAGGATGCTTGTTGCAGCTTTGTGTTTGATGACAGAGATGTGGACAGAACTAATTGTCCACTCAATGGGGAATTGACGGATCCATGCTGTCAAATCCACAGCAGATAAAATGCATGAGGTGGGTTTCTGTGTGCTGGGGGGGAATATCTCCAAGACAGATTTAGTCAAAAAAGAAACTTTGGAAACTTACATACAACCATACCATGGGATACCGTCTATGTTTTAACCAATCACACACACCCTGCAACAGGCCCAAATGTGTCTAAATGTACACAGTCCTAGAAGACCATACAGAGAGTGACAATGGTACTTACCTCTGGGGAGGGGATGAGACATGAGTGAAGTTCTTAATGAGGCCTCTGACTTTATTTGGAATGCATCTATTCCGTTTACAAAGTGAATGTCTTTAAAGTAATTTCTTGAGTATTTGAAAATAGATATGTTATCTTTGAAGGCAACAAGAGAACAAAGACAAGAGTGCATAAAGTAAAAATCATGTTTATTAAAGAATGTTTGTGTATATTTATCTATCCATCCGCCCACTTGCATACCTATGCATGCATGCGCTCAGTCATCCATCCATCTATCCACCTAGCCATCCATCCATCCACCCGTCTGTCCATCCATCCATCCACCCACCCATCCACCCACCCACCCATCCACCCATCCATCCATCCACCGATCCAGCCAGCCAGCCATCATCCATCCATCCATCCATCCACCCATCCACCCATCTGGGAGACAGCCTAGCAGCTGTGCAGCCTTAGAGACCTACTTGGGTGCTACAAGTTACCTCCCTTGTGGAATCCCAAGGGAACACACTTTGAGGACACACAACTGTGGGACAAGCGGCTTTCTCAAACGTCTTTGGTGAGAATCTGTCCTTGGAATCAGAAGGAATGTGTCTGATGCTGCTGGAACGCCCTTGGACTATGGGAGCCAACAGTGGCAGCCATCCTTGCAGCAACAAGAGAAGATCTTGGAGGCCAAGTCTTCGTTGGTGGCAGTGGCGCCATGTTAAATTGGCAGATCTTGGGATCTAGTGAGGGTCCCCAGGCAGGGCTGTTGGAGGCTGTTTGTGGTCTCACAGAGCCAGAGAACCAGGGAATGCTAGGGGGAAGAGAGTGTCTGGACTGGAACTCAAAGGCAAGGAGGGTCTGATGACCCTCACTCCATGACCCTCCTGGAGAACAAATGGTTCCTGCTTGGGTTTTTGCAAACGGAAGAGCTGGAAGTGTAAATGTAATAACGTAAGAGGGTGTGCTTCCCACAGTTGAGAGCACAGAGAAATGCAAGACGCTCACTGTGGCATTCATGTTTGCTCAGGATGGGAAGGGGAGAAGCACTCATGGCGGCCCAGTCTTCAGACTTTCCACAAAGCCTGCAGCTGCCTGAGCTCTGGTCCAGAAGCTCCAGCAGGGCCTTGCCCACAGCAGGGGTAGAGCGTCTCTCCCGAACACCTCTCGTCTTTCTTGGCTATGCAGAGAGGAAACCGTCACAGCGACAGAGAGCTTCTGTTGTAACAGAGTCAACCGTGGGTAGAAGATGTGGGCCACAGGATGATATGTGGATTCGAGTTTAAAATACATTGATAGTCCCCAGCTGCAAGGGGCATAATGCAAGTTACCTGGACAGGGAGCCTGTCCATGATGACAGCTTCAAAAATGGAAGCAAAAGGGATCTTTGTAAATTGGACTTCCCAAATAACTTACATCCAGTGATGTGTGGCTTTGTCTATAAGACGTCAGGCGTGCAGACAAAAGCTGGTGCGATATGCATGCTGTGTCTATTGAGCGCCCCTAAACCTCCACGTCTTAGAGTGGTGGTTCTCAACCAGGGGCGATTTTGTGCCCCAGGGGGCACTTGGAGACATTTTTGATCATCAGGACTGGGAGTGAGGTGGGTACTACTGGCATCTTGTGGGTGGAGACCAGGGTCGCCACTCAACACCCTACAGTGCACAGGACGCCCCACCACAGAGAATGGTCCAGCCCCAAATATTCATAGTGCCAAGGTTGAGAGATCTGCCTTAGCATGAAAGACTTCATCTGTCTAGCTCTCTAGTTATCTACCTATCATCTATCATCCATCATTCATCTATTTATCTATCGATTGATCGATCGGCTCAGTCTATCATCTATTATCTATATCTGTTATCTATCAATCTGTCTACCATCTATTATCAATCTATCTGTATCTATCACTTTATATCTATGTCTATTATCTATTATCTATCTGTACCTATTTTTCTATGTATCTATCATCTATCTATCTAAATCTATTTATATCTATTTCTATCTATCTATACATACATCTATCTATGTATCTATCTATCTACATCTATTTCTACCCACTTATCTATGCCTATATCTATCTATCATCTATCTATCTACCATCTATCTATTATCTCTATTATCTATCTCTTTATCTATCTATCTATGTATGTATCTATCTATGTATCTGTCTATCTATCTATCTGTATTTCTACTTACCTATCTATACCTCTATCTATCTATCTATCTATCTATCTATCTATCTATCTATCTATCATCCGTCTATCAACTAGCTAGCTAGCTATCTTTCTACCTACTACAGTAGTTCACAACTGGGGGCAATTCTGCCCCCTAGGGGACACACAGCAATATCTCGAGACATTTCTGGTTGTCACAGCTGGAGGGGCTGCTCCTGGTACCTGCTGAGTGGAGCCCAGGGATGCTGCTCCACACCCCACAGTGCACAGGATGCCCCACATCAGAGAATTACCCGTTCCAAATGTCAATAGTGCTGCAGTTGAGAAACCCTTATTTAAGGTACCAGAGAAATTGAGAGAAATGTTCCTTTTCCCCAGGTCCTCGCCCAGTGCACACACAGACTCTGTGTCACTCTGCTCTGACATCCATTATTCTGTCTCCTCGCCTGCCCTTCTTCCTCCCTCTCCTTTCAATTTCTCCTGCTCACCTCCAACCTCCAAAGGAAATGCCCGAAGAAATGCTCGGAGGCGTGGATTTATAGGAGCTTTGTAAAACTAAGCAAGGATCTGGACCGCCGTGATACACAATGGTTTATTTATTCGACTTGAAACAATTCCTTTTCGTGAGAACACTGCCACATGGCAAAACCTCGAAAGAATCGCTTTTGATCAAATCCCACAGGGCAGAGAAGCAAGGACAGAGAGAGCGGAGTTCAGAAGTTGATTCAGAAAGTTAAATGTTGCATCTTCCGCTGGAGATGGGGAGAATGGACGTAAGTGAAGAAATTCAATAAATAAGACTTTGTAGAAGTGCACCCTCTGACGAGTGCAAAATGAGGTGTGTTTACATTCTTGGGATGTTTATCCACCGTGTGGGATGCTGTTTAGAATAAGGATTCTCTGGCCTCATCTCCACAGATTGAGTTTCAGTGGGCTTGGGGTAGGGCTTGGGAATCTGCATTTTTTTACTTAAAAAATTGCATTTTATATTATCATAAAGTAAAATGGACTTTGTGCGCATGTTTTGCGGTTCTGTGAATTTTAACACGTGTTTAGATACATGTAAACATTGTCACATTCAGGATAGAGAATAGTTCCATCACCCCCCACCCCAAATTTCCCTTATGCTATCCCTTTATAGCCACACACCCCGACCCTAACCCTTGGGAAATCTACATTTTAATTAAGTACATTTAAATAATTCCTATGCAGGTAAACCAATGGTGTAGTGAAAAAATGTTTAGGCTCAGAAGGCCTTAAGACTGAGCCAGGCTGAAGGGTTTATCAGCTAATGTGACCCCAGACAAGCCTTTTATTATGTCTGAGCATCATTCTTTTCATTGCAAAACAGAGGAAATGTTTATCTTACAAAGTAGTCGTGAAGAATGAGCAATGATGTAAGCAAAATCCTGGCATAGGGTAGATATTAATTAAATAATATCTACTATAAAATGTTGGCTTTTTTAGAAGAGTTTTTAAATACTTCAAAGATAAGTTTAAAACCAAACAAAAAAAAAAAGATGCAGTCTTCTGTTTCTGACCAAGATGGAATAACAGGGACCAGATTTATTCTCCTTCCTGAAGCAACCAAAAAAGTGGACAAAATGTATGAAGCAACGGTTTTTAAAGACACTGGACATGGGGCAATGAAAGACAGCGACCCTTGAGAAACGGGAAATGAGGGAGGTGAGCCCATGACTGCCCCAAATTACAGTCTTGAGAGACTCGCCAGGCAACGCACAAGGGAGGGAACCCCAGGGGTACCTGGTAGGTTCCCCGAGCTGAGGACAACTGCACACACACAGACCCCAAAACTTTTTGTTCCCACCTCCCATATTGGAAAACCCAACAGTTCATGGGGCTTTGGGTGGGATAGTGAGAACGATGTTGCCTCAATAGGTTGGACAAATTAGCCCCTAAGTTAAATCCTGCTCTGTTCCAACCCAACAAAACATAAAGGCAGGTGTGAGAGGATCAAACTATGTTCAAGGGACTCAATGGCATATGAAAAGCTCAAAAATACTTACAGGAACACAAAATTATCCAGCACCCAACAGGGTAAAACTAAAAATGTCTGGTGTCTAATCCAAAATTACCAGGCACGAAAAGCAGAAAAAAAGTATGACCCATCATAAGGAGAAGAATCAATTCATTCATACCAACCAAGGATTGATAAAGAAGTTAGATTTAGAAAACCAGGAAATTAAAACAGTTCTTATAATTGCATTCAATTTGTTCAAAAAGCTAGAGGAAAGACTTAACATGTTAAGTACAGACATGGAAGACACAAAAAAGGCTCGAATCAAACTTCTCCACAGGAAAACTACAATGGCTGAGATGAAAAAACATTGGGTGAGATTGAGGACAGATCAGACGTTACAGAAGAAAGGATTAGTTAATCTGAAAACAATGAAATAGACGCTATTGAAAATGAAACACAGAGAGAAAAACGACTTGAGAAGTAAAAAGGGCATCCGTGAACTGTGGGCAAATATGTGTGCAGTTGGAGTCCCCATAGAAGAAGCAGGTTTCAAAGTCCATCTCGTTTAATTTTCACAACAACCTTACAAATTAGGTCTTCTGATTCCCATTTTACAGATAAATATGGTTACCAGATAAAATACAAGAGACAGGCAAGATTTGGGACATAGTCGTACTGAAAAATTATTTGTAACTTACCTGAAATTCAAATTGAACTGGGAATCTTTTCTTTCTCTGCTAAATCTGACAGCTGTATAAATGGGGTGATGGAGTCACATCTATTAGATAGTTAATTCTCCCAATGTCAAGTCACAAGAAGAGATGGGAGGACTAACCTAGGTCTGTGTGAACCCAATGCTCATGCTCTGATGTTCTAAACTCCCCTCTTCCAGGGGTTCAGCACCTCCCCTCTACCCCAGACCAAGATTTTGCTCTATTTGTGTCTATGCTGAAGTCCCATATTAGATTATAAACTCATCTGAAGACAAGGCAAGACTGCACTCTTGTTGACATTCCAAAAGACTGGCAAGGTGCTGGAGGAAAGAGGTACTGGTGGGTGGGTGGATGGATGATAGATGGATGGATGCATGGATGCATGGATGCATGGATGGATGGATGAATGATGGCTGGAAGGATGAGTGGATGGATGGATGGATGGATGCATGCATGGATGGATGCATGGATGGATAGATAATGGATGGGTAGATGGATGGATAATGGATGGATACATGGATAGATGATGGATGGATGGATGGATGGATGGATGGATGGATGCATGGATGGATAGATAATGGATGGGTAGATGGATGGACAATGGATGGATACATGGATAGATGATGGATGGATGGACAAATGGATGGAGGATAGGTGGATGGATGCATGGATGGATGGACAGAGGGAAAGAAAGGATGTGAGTGGTAGCAGATATGCCACCCCAAGATATTCCACTATAGCATAAGGATTATTTTGAGTTGAAGGCAATTGAGAAGAAGCTGATACGAAGAAAAGCTCCCTGCTCTCCCCTATTTGCCTAAAAACAGGACATACATTTTCAAGGTATCCCTCCTCCCCTCTCTATCAGGAAGGACAAAGGTAATCACCCGAGGCAGCGTTAGACCCTATCAGCCTGGAGATGGCCCCAGAGGAGTCTACATAAGAAATTTCACTAAGTAGGTTTTGTCTACCATCAGTTTACCTTCCACAGTTTGCCAACCTTGGAAGCCTTTGCTTTGCTTTGTCCTGCCATGTCTCCACAAATGTATTGTTCTTTGTTGGAGAAGCTGGAGCTCTAAGCCACCACTCTGAGTTACTCATTTTTCCCTGGATATCTCCCACGTATACAAGAGGAATCTACGTTACTAAACTTCCATTTGTTTTTCTTGTTTCAATTTCTCTTTTATTATGCAGATCCCATCCAAGAACTCAGAAGGGTAGAGGGAAAAATATTTTTTCTCCACTACAGATGGGTGGATGGATGATGGGTGTATAGACGGATGGATGGATGGATGGACCCCGTGATAATAAGGAAGTGGCACTATTTTAAAATCTTTCTTTAAGCCTTATTTCTGTAAGTTCATCCTGTGTGTCATTGCTACAACCTGTCTTCTTGCTTTATGCCATTTTTCAATCCAATGAATTAAAAGCTGAAAGCTCAAAGAAAGCCAGGAGCCAAGCCATTAACGGGGTAAGTGTTGTCTTCTTCCGTTAGCCGGTCTATAGAGAAGGGCTGGTGGAGGGAGATCCTAGGGTCATCGTCTGAAAACTCTGCGTTCTCCTCTGGGAGGCGATGCGGCCGGAGGAGACCTCCCGTGGTTCTGCCCGGGGGGACGAAATCAGGAGCAGCACCAGCCCTATTTATTGTCTTTAAAAATAGATGCGGTCCTCGAGATGCAGGGGCTCAATGGCTCAAGATGGATGCCAGGATGATTTCATTTCTGCCCCCTTCATGACTCTGTCGTGTGTGTGTGTTTCACTTTTGTTTGATAGAAATAAATTAAACTTTGCTTTGTTTGGACTATTGGGCTACTGAGATAATTGATGACGATGACATTAAAATTACATCGGGAACAAGATGTCTCTTCAATAAAACCTCATTAATTAGGATCTCATAAATTCAGAATTTGAGCTGAAATTTATCTTAGTGTTAGCTATTAAGAAAAGACTCTGAGTAAATTAAAAGCATAAAGATTTCAGGGGAGAAGTCGGAATTACTAAGAAAGCGAGACTTTCAGTAGTTTGGAAGCATTTTTTTTTACATCTAAAAATATGGGACTAATTATTATTGTCTATCAAATGAGCAGATTACCTACCCAAACACTATTCATCAAAACTTGGAAATTTTTAATATTCTATGCATTGAAAGTAAGCATATTTTTACAATATTCTATAATACCTGCTATTCAATCTTTAAGACTGGCATTATTCCTATTTAATAAAATGAGCCAAAATTTTATTATAGTGAATTTTAGCAAAGTGTGGTGAATTACTTTATAAAATTCCATTTTATCAATCCTGCGTTTCCCTATTTGATACTATTTTGTCTTTTTGCTGAGACATATGGTAGAATGCCTATTATCGGTCTGGATTATAGTTCTGACTTATCTGAGGTCCGGGTTTCTGACTTGAGTAGATAATCTTCTTGTAGGTATGTTTTTACCTGTAACACGAAAGACCAGGTACACTATATAATTTCCCAAGCTGCTTCAGGTATTAAATTCCATAATCCTATAGTTAAATTAATAACATTTATACTGTAGTTCTTAATCGTTTTTTACCTGGCAAATACAGACATGCAGAAGGGCATATGTGAAAGGG